TGCCATTCTGGAAGCTTTGAAAACTGATATTGATACAAAGGACTAAGGAAGTATTATGTGGACAAAATGCAAATGACATATCTTTTGCTTTTCTTCTTCTTTTTCTCTTTGGTAGCAATGGTGGTGCAACTTTGTTTGCTTTGTGTGTTGTGAATGCTTTTTTTATCAAACGGTTCTATCTTTTTCTTTCTTGTTTTTGCTTTGGAAGGAAGGAAATGGACCGATGACTGTTGTCATAAAATAAAAGTGCAATATATATATAGCACCAAATACATATTCAAATGCAGACTAATAATAGGTAAAACAAACAAACAAATAATTTTGTTTTTGTTTTTAATTAATCATAGTTACTTGCATTGATGCATCTTGTACTAAAGTTCCAGAATGCTTTTAATTGTAATAAGCAAAAGATCCCATGCATCATATGTCAAGATTCAAGAAGTATTTAAACAAAATAAATGATTTGATTATATACTCAGCTCCAGTGAATTTTAGCTCAAGCAGTCGATATGTCCGAGTGGTTAAGGAGACAGACTCGAAATCTGTTGGGCTTTGCCTGCGCAGGTTCGAATCCTGCTGTCGACGCTAATTTTTTTATTTTATTTTTTTGGTACTTTTTAAATTTGGGCCTTGGCCCCTGATGGGCTATACCCGCCGACAAAAAATAAGAAAACAAATGAAAGCTCAAGAAATACCCCTTGCCGGTACTAACTTGAGTTTCTGGACATCTACGCTATCTCTGCTCAAAACCCTAACCCCCCATTTTCCGGCGCGCCAAGCACACTGATTTCCCAGAAACAAACACACACACACTTTCTCTAAACCCTAAACCAGTCAATCTACGAAGCAACATCCATGGCTTCCCACGCACCGAACTTGGAGTGCCGCATGTACGAGGCCAGGTACCCAGAGGTGGACATGGCGGTGATGATCCAGGTCAAGAACATCGCCGACATGGGCGCCTACGTTTCGCTCCTCGAGTACAACAACATCGAGGGCATGATTCTCTTCTCGGAGCTCTCCCGCCGTCGGATTCGAAGTGTCAGCAGCCTCATCAAGGTGGGCCGAATCGAGCCCGTCATGGTCCTCAGGGTCGACAAGGAGAAGGGCTACATTGATTTGAGTAAGAGGAGGGTTTCCGAGGAGGATATCCAGGCCTGTGAGGAGAGGTACAACAAGAGCAAGCTCGTCCACTCCATCATGCGCCATGTGGCCGAGACTTTGGGCATCGATTTGGAGGTATTTTGGTGTAATTTCAGTTGTTTTGGTTTTGTGCTGTTTTGAATTCTCTGAATTTTGTATGTATTCTACCTTTGGAGAAGAAAATCAGGCTTTTTATGCCGGTCTGATGTGTAGCATTAGCACCACTAGACTAGACTTAGAAATTTATGCGTACCTTTTTTATACTACCCATATTTGAATGCAATATTCGATATTATGTAAGTGTTAATTGCGTTTTGTGTAATGGTAGATGCTTCGGTTTGTTTAGATAGCGTTAATTGGGACTGCATGTTTTCTATTTAGAGGCATGCTCAAACAAATTATTGATTGACTGGTGGTTACCTTGTTTTGTTTGTTATCTGTTGTTTTCATAGGATATTACCCTATCACTAATTGACTTTACTTGTTACAGGAGCTGTATGTCCATATTGCCTGGCCGTTATACCGGAAATATGGTCATGCTTTTGAGGTGAGGATGTTCACCATCTTTCAATGTATGTTTGTGGTGTTAATTCTCAGTAGTGAACATGAATTATTACTTTGTGCAGGCTTTCAAAATAATTGTTACCGATCCTGATTCAGTTCTTAGTGCCCTCACACGTGAGGTCAAAGAGACTGGCCCTGATGGACAAGAGGTAATGCCTGTTTGTGTGAGGATTTTGGTTCATATTCTCCTGTTTATGTCGCATATGCATAGGTGTGATACTCCCTTACATCTTAATTTGCAGGTCACTAAGGTGGTTCCTGCTGTGTCAGAGGAAGTGAAAGAGTCTTTGGTGAAGAATATTAGGAGAAGAATGACCCCACAACCATTGAAGATCCGAGCTGATATTGAAATGAAGTGCTTCCAATTTGATGGTGTTCTTCACATTAAGGTTTTGTGTTGTCCTTCTGTGGAATCTGCTTATTTTTCTTTCATGATGCTTTCTCTATGGCTGGATTTTGATTTTCTACATACATGTTGTTCTTGTTTTTGCAGGATGCCATGCGGAAAGCAGAAGCTGCAGGCAATAATGACTGTCCTGTGAAAATTAAATTGGTTGCACCTCCACTTTATGTTCTTACCACACAGACTCTTAATAAGGTTTGCTGACACTGATTTAAATCTTGAGTTGATCAATTATTGTTTCAACTGCATGATTACTATGCGGTAAGCTTGATCATCCACCAAGCAAGATAGTGGCATATTGATAATGTCCCTTATCAACATGACATGTTTTTTTGTCAAGAAGCAAACTGTTTGATATTCAGGTTATAAATGTTTGTTTTCCTGCCTGGCCAAAGAAAAAACATTAGTCCTAAGAATATATCTCCTCCTTGCACTGATTTCCCCAAGTTAAGAGTGTTCAAATTTTGTACCTTGAACCTTTGAATTTGAGTTAGTTAAGATTTTACCTGATGGCTGCTCAGAGGATCACAACCTTTTCCCCCATTTTTTTCCCGCACTGGTGCTATATTGCGTTGTAGGTTTATGGTCTGGCCAATATCCATTTAGTAGTCTGTAGCTTCAATTTCAACTTCGAATGTAGTTATGGGACTATTCAACCATGCCATTCTAGCACTATTTTAATTTCTACATAATGATATGGTTCTTATTCATTGCTTGATTTGTATCATCAATTTTTCCGATTCTTGCCCACAAAGCATTAGTTACTACTTCTCTGCTAAAGATACTATATTCAGTAGGCTAGTAATGTAGAAGCTTCTGCTGACTTCCCTGAAGGCAGTTGTGAAGCACGATGATAGTTGCCGCTTGCTGCTTTTGCTAACGAATTTTATAATTTCTGTTCTGTCTGGGTAGGAGCAAGGGATAGCAGTTCTAAGCAATGCAATTGAAGCTTGCACGCAAGAGATAGAACATCACAAGGGGAAATTAGCAGTGAAGGAGGCACCCAGAGTGGTGAGTGTCAACCCTCTTCTTTATATTTTGTCTCTTTTATAAGTATTTTGGTTTTCCATCTGTTTCTTTATATTCAGCTGACTTTGAATGCTTATCAATCTTTTAGCAGAAGTTTTTATTTTCGATACCTCATAGCATTGAATTTCAAATCTATAGTAATCTTAATTGACTTGGCATATAAATTTTTTTCATTTTTGTGTCTAATATGGTGAACTGATGTAGGTGAGTGAACGGGATGACAAACTTCTTGCTGAACACATGATTAAGCTCCGCCAGGAGAATGAGGAGGTCAGTGGTGATGAGGGTAGTGAGGAAGAGGAAGACACAGGATTGGGAGAAGTTAACGTGGAAGGTGCGGGGCCCGGCATTGTAGATTGAAGAAGAATTTTGTGGGATAGATAGTGGCTTACCATTTTCCTCAAGCAAGTTCCTTTTTTAACAGTTGTATAAAACCAATTTCAAAGTATCGTATCATCGAGATGTTTTGGCAATTTACCGAATTGAGCAGAGTTTTTTGGAGGATACTTGACAACTTAATAGTTCAATACTTTAAAACAGTAATGGAGAAACCTTTTGTGCCCCCCCCGCCCGTGTGTATTTTTTGCTCTCTCTCTCTCTCTCTCTCTCTCTCTCTCTCTCTCGTGTGCGCGTATTGGTGAGCAAATGGGCTCTGGTGGTTCTCATGTTGTTTTTATTTATTTATTTATTTTTAATTTTTAAATGATTTTTTTTTTTTTGGGTTTTAAATGATTTTTTTGTTTTGTTTTAAATGATTCATATAAATTTCAGACGAGCTGTTGAAAATAGAAATAAAACAATTGCCCAGTTTTATACTTTGTCTCGACCCTTGTGATATCCTGATAGAAATACAGCCTTCTCCTTTGGATCTTGAATCTTGATAAGCTGCTTGGCCACACCATATACGTCCCTTTCCTTCTCCATCTCATTTTTAACAAAGCTTTAACACAGACGAACACAGAGCTAGCAAAATGGGAATTAGCTCAGTCCCCAGCTTCTCCAAAACGCGAAAGCTGCCATGCATATTCACACTCACACTCATGCTCCTCTGTCTCACAATCCTCCTCTTCACCAAAACCAACACCTCTTCTCCTCTCTTGTTCTACTCCGATGGTCAGACCTCAAACCCCATCACAGCACCGTACCTCGAGGCAGGTGCCGTTTCGGATGGAGCCACTATTGTTTCTGTGACTTTGAATTGGGAACTCTGTACGGGTTGGGGAGCTGTTGATTACATACCATGTTTGGATAACTTCAAGGTAATCAGGGCCTTGAAGACGAGGAGGCATATGGAGCGTCGTGAACGGCATTGCCCGGAGCAGAGTTCAAGGTGTCTGCCGCCACTTCCCAAAGGTTACAAGGTGCCAGTTCCGTGGCCTAAGAGCAAGGACATGGTGAGATTTATATTTTGGTAAGATTTGTTTCTGGTTTTTTTTACTGCTTTGAATGGGCAAGGTGGGTAGTGGTGCTTCATATTTGGTTTGGTATGTGTTAAGCACATTTCATAATTTCTCATTTGGAGAAAGTGATTGCGGAAATGTGGCATGGGCACAATTCTGTACTAGGAGTGGGCACAATTCTGTACTAGGAGTGAGCACAATTTGGTTTACCAAATGTTCCCTACCCATAGCTAACTAGGAGTGGGCATAATTCAGCTTACTTCTTAAAATTTAAACCAAAAACCTATTATGATATTTATAAATTTAAAGAAATTGCGGACTTTAAATGCACGTTACATTCCGACACTAACATAATTAATAACTAAACTGAAATGGACCAACCGAATTAAATAATTTAATCTAAGTAATCTAGGAATTTAATATAAGAATCAAATTCAGAAACTAATACTCTAATTTACTCTAACCAAAATCGTAATCGTAGTGAGTGCTATTAAATAATTGCAGAGTCGAAAACCTGTGTCTTCTCTTCGTCGGATAACGACATTTCGAAATCCTGCTAGAAATACCGCGTACTCTTCTCGATCTTGAATCTTGATCAGCTGACCTGCACCGTATAAATATACGTCCCTTTCTCTTTCACATTCAACAAAGTAAGCTTTAACGCGCAGAGAGGAACAGAGCTCTCAGAAATGGGCATCTCAGTCCCAAGCTTTTTCAAAGAGCGAAAATTCCCTTTCATCTTCACTCTCTCACTCTTGCTCGTCTGCTTCACAGTCCTTCTCTTCACCAACACCAACACCCCTGACCCTCACTTCTTCTATTCCGATGTTCAAACGTCGTCGTCTGCACAACCCATCGTCATCGCTTCTCCTCTACCCGCGCAAGCATCAAACCCCATCACAGCTCCGCCCATCCAAAACGGTCCCGTTTGGGATGAGACTAGCATCCCTGTTTCTGTGAATTTCAATTGGAGACTCTGTACGGGATCGGTGGCTGTTGATTACATACCGTGCTTGGACAATTTCCAGGCGATCAAGGCCTTGAAGTCGAGAAGGCATATGGAGCATCGCGAGCGGTATTGCCCGCAGCCGAGCCCCAGGTGTCTGGAGCCGCTTCCGAAAGGTTACAAGGTGCCGGTTCCGTGGCCTGAGAGCAGGGACATGGTGAGATTTATACTTTGGTAAGATTTGTTTCTGGTTTTTCTCAAATGGGTTTATTGCTTTCAATGAAGAAGGTGGGTATTTTGGTGTGTTACTATGTTATGTCAAGATTCAAATCCAAAGGGTATAGCTTGTAGATATTTTAAGCAGTCGACTTTAACATCTAATTGTTCAAGAAAAACTTTCATGATTTTCCTTTTTGGGAAAGTGATTTTATGGAAATGTGAAGTTGGTGGCATGTCCTGATTACTGCAGCATTCAATAATGTATTGGTGATTTTCTCTGTTTTTAGATATGGTATGACAATGTTCCTCACCCAAAGCTTGTTGAGTACAAGAAGGACCAAAATTGGGTAAAGATGTCTGATGATTATCTTATTTTTCCTGGCGGTGGTACTCAGTTTAAGGAAGGAGTTAATCACTACACTGACTTCATCGAAAAGGTACAGGGTTACCCGCCTTTGCCACTTCTGATTTTACATTGGTTTTGAAATTTGTTACATGGTTTTTTATTTCACTCCAGACTTTACCAGTTATTGAATGGGGGAGGCATGTAAGGGTTGTTTTAGATGTTGGTTGTGGTGTTGCTAGCTTTGGTGGCTATTTGCTGGACAGAAATGTTATTACCATGTCATTTGCCCCAAAAGATGAACATGAAGCTCAGATACAGTTTGCTCTTGAAAGGGGAATTCCTGCTACTCTCTCGGTTATTGGAACACAGAGGCTGACATTTCCCGACAATGCATATGATTTGATTCATTGTGCAAGGTGCAGGGTTCACTGGGATGCAGATGGTACTTTGTCTAAATAAATCACTTTCAAGTTTGAAGTTCTTTCTTATTTCATTTCTTCTCTGTCCTATTTATTCTCTCTGTTAATTTAATGGTTTTGGTTAGTGTAGGTGGGAAACCACTATTGGAGCTCAACAGGATTCTTAGGCCTGGAGGTTTTTTCATATGGTCTGCTACACCGGTTTATCGTGATGATGAAAGAGATAAGCGTGTATGGAAATGTTCGTAATCTGATCTCTCTCTTTCACTTATCCATCTGGTCACCTTCTATTTTCTTTACTGGACTACATTTCATGGAAGCTTCTAAATCCATCATATAATTAGTGTAGAGTTTAGCAGCAATATTTACGATAAAAAGTGAAGATATTTTAAGCCGATCTAAGTTGGATGTACATGCATGTTTCTTCCAGCTATGGTGGCTCTGACAAGATCAATGTGCTGGGATGTTGTCGCTAAGACTGTTGATTCAACTGGAATTGGGCTTGTAATATATCGGAAGCCTATCTCATTTGTACGATATTTTAAACGCAAAGAAAATAAACCACCTATTTGTGGTCCTAAAGACAGGAAAAACAGTTCATGGTAATTTTCTGGGATATCTCCTCTCGTATTGCTGCTACTGCTTATCTAAGCAGAGTACTCTTTAGACTTGTCCTAAATCTTGTCTAAGTTTGTGTTACAGGTATGTGCCACTCAGTACTTGTGTTACCCTACCACCTCGATCTAGCTGGCCCTTACCCTGGCCCAACAGGCTTACCAGTAAACCTCCGAGCCTAGCTACTAACCCAGAAGCTGAGGAAATGTTCTACAAGGACACCATACATTGGTCTGCACTTGTGTCAGATGCCTATGTTAACAATGCTGCTATAAACTGGTCAAGCGTGCGGAATGTAATGGATATGAATGCTGGTTATGGAGGGTAAATTTAGCAAATGAGTAGTTGCTACTTCCATATTTTATTTTTGTTGTATCATCATTGCTTAGTCATTGGTGTTAGATGATCATTCCAGTGCTTATTATTTTTGGAAGTATGCTTATTGTTGTTACTCTAATCCAATCCTCTTTTTCGGGTGGTGCCTTTCAGATTTGCTGCGGCACTTACCGATCAACTTCTCTGGGTAATGAATGTCGTCCCCGTTCATGTACCAGATACTCTGTCCGTCATTTTCGACAGAGGGTTGATTGGAATTTACCATGACTGGTGCGAGTCTTTGAATACCTACCCTCGAACATATGATCTACTGCATTCCAGTTTTCTCTTTGAAAACCTTTCGCAAAGGTACAATACAATTTCACACTACTATTGTGACCTTTTGATTGCTTGCTAGCACCTACCTGCTATAGAACATCTGATGAAAGAAACACTGAAACATGATTACAGCATGTCAATATTATTTTCATCTACGCCACGGTCAACAATTTTGGTTATAATTAGTCTTCGCTTTTTGTCAGATGCGACATGATAGATGTAGTGGTGGAAATGGATCGCATATTAAGGCCTGGTGGGTATTTAGTGGTTCAGGACACAATGGAAATGATAAGCAAGATGAGGCCAATTTTGCATTCGCTTCACTGGTCGACAGCCCTCCACAAAGATCAGTTTCTTTTTGGTAAGAAAGGTTTCTGGCGTCCAGGAAGAGGTTCAAGTAAATCATGATTGAAGGTTCTGATCTTTTTTTCGCCTGTACAATCAAATCTTATATCATATATTAATCAATTGTAAGATAGAAGTAGAAGGTTTTGAATTTTTAGTTTTTGACTCCCAAAATAAGCGTCCACGGTCATAGAGAAGAAATTATTTCCATAGTGGTAATGACACAGCTTCAGGCATTTTTACAATCTAAGCCTTGTATTCATTCTTGTTGAGATAGATACAAATGAAATGGAAGGCATATTACAGACACAGATGACTAAATCTTATACATTATTAAGCATAAACCAAATGTACCTTGTTGTGCAATGTGACTAAGTGGCTAAGAGGAAAAGATTAAAGAAGAAAAAAACTCATACATGGATAGGAGTTGGAAGCCATGAAAACTTGCAACAGAGAAAGATAGCCAACGGAAACAAAATCATCATGAGACAGACAAACAATGGAAGGTGGAGTTATCCCTGATGAGTTTGCCATCACTTGTACCAACAGTTCTTGAATAACAACCAAACTCACCACTGTAACGAAAACTCTGCTCAGTATTTGCAGTTCCAGAGAGAACAGAGTGATCCTTCACCTCCATCCACCCTCTTGAATCCTGACTGTTATAAACCCGAGTCGAATAGTCTCCATGCAAGCTCTTCTCCTTCATCGAATGTGACATGTTTGTGACTAACACATAAGTGTCCTTGTGAGACCCAGGTAAAGTAGCGGTGATGACATTGATAGGGTACCTCCTCCTAACTCTGTTCCTAAGCACCACCACACCTTTCTCATTCACAACCTTCACTTCCCTTTTGGCCTTGACTTTCTGCTTCACCAATTTATAAGTCCCGTTCTTTGCGAATCGAATCGAGCTCTTGAAATTGTACCGCTGGGAGAATGTGGTGGTGTAGTTGCCTGAACTGGACTTAACCCATCCCACAAATTCACTGCTTCTCTCTGCTCTGATCTTAAAAACCCCATCAAGCTGTTTAAACTGGGTACCTCGATTCACTACAATAGCAGGAGGCGGAGGCAAAACGCTTGATTTGGCCTTCACTGTTTTTGATTGATGGTCCAACCAAATGTGCAAATTGGCATCCACAAGCCAATATGAAATCCCATCAGCCACTCCAATTCCAAAGCTATGAGCTTTCCCATCTAGAAGCTTCTCCAGAAACGGCGTCAATTCCAAATCGTACGAAGGAAGGTCGAAGGCTCCGATCGCCACCACCGGTTCCCAAAACAAAGGGTTGATGCCGCCGGTGAACACCACCGGAAATGGAACTTCCGAACCCACCAATTCGCCGTCGACTGTCACGAAAACCTCTCTGTAAGCTCCGTTGCCGCGCCCGGTCGCTAAGTTGTTCGTTGTGATGTATAAACTTGGCGGGTTCGAGTACCAAAACTCGTCGTTTCCGTGAAACGACACGTACAGCTCCAGTACGAGTCGTCGTGTGTTCCGCGGGATCCGGATTTCCTTGGAGTGGAAATCCGATTCGCTCTCGATTCGGAACCAGCATCCTTTATCTCCGTTATCGGATATCGGAAAGATCAAATCGGCCGGTTCGTAAGCAACAGTTCCCAAATTTTGATATGGGATTATCGAAGCAACCCTCATCACGGGGTTAAGCGTAACGGCGACGTTTTGGTTGTAATAGAGGAAATGGACTTCGACGTGGTAAACGCCGGTGTAGACGTGGTCAACGACGTTCTCGAGCATCATCGTGAGGTTGAGGTCGCAGCGCGCGAGGAGAGAGTAGTATCTGGTGATGTCCTTTCGAACCTTCCAGAAGATTCCTTTTTCTGTCGGCTCGGCCGTGCTGGTGCGGAGGAGCTCCGCGCCGCCGAGCCACAAGCCGACTATCCGGTCGTACTGCTCGCCTTTGCATTTGGCGCGAAACTCGAGGGCGATGTGGGACCAGGGAGATGGGCAATCGAATGGCGGGGAGTAGTCGGTGGAGAAGGCAGGGCCATTCATGGTGTTGGCGAAGGAGTGCGTGAGGACTCGGTGGGAGCAGGATGGGGTCAGCTGATCGAACGGTAGGGGATGGCCCACCTCGAGGTATTCTTGGGATTTGTGTTTCAGAAGATTGGCGGATAGGGATTTGGTAAAACGATCTGGGAAGGAGGAAGGTGAGGCTGGGTTTGTGAAGAACAGGAGAAGCAGGAGGAGTAAGGCGTACATTTTTGCGAAGCAGTCAGTGCAGTGGAGTGAGAGGTCAACTTCAAAATAACGGTTGCAGGGAGATTTCATTTTATTTGGCTTTTATCTATATTTATTTATTTTAATCAGAAATTATGAAATTAGTTGCAACAAATTCACAATAAACAATCAAAAGCAAATTGAAAAAAATACAAAAGAGTGAAGTTTCCTAGTTAATAGCGCCAATACTATGAAATTGACTCCGTCCATCTTTTTCCTTTAATCTAATTGAAACACAGGGCATGATAATGAAATGTTTTATTCATTTATTTATACCAATTATTCTATAGGGAGTCAAGCTTCGGTAGAACTCACTATATAGAACAAATGTCCTAATTCAAGTATGCATGCTAAATAAATGTAAATTGCAAACCATTTTCTAATTAAGATGTTAATTGCCAATCATTTGCTCCATTAACTATTTAACCTCCTCTGCTAATAAGAAACTCGGTGATATCATCATACCCCATCGCCGTCGCCATGTACAGAGGGGTGGCGCCGCTGTTGCTCTTGGCATTGACGTTAGCCCCATTCTGAACCAACATCTCAACGGTCTCCAAGCTCCCGCCAACAACAGCCAAATGCAAGGGCCCATGCCCTTCGCTGTCTCGGCATTCCAATTCCAACCCAAATTCGATGAGCATCAGAGCTATATCCTTGTGGCCTTTAATGGCTGAGGCGTGCAGGGCTGTCAAGCCATATTGATCACAGCAGTTTATATCCGCGCCATTTTGCAACAGCACTTCAACTTGCTTCAAATCTCCTCGTCTTGCCGCCATCAATACTAGTTCTCCCATTTCTAGCTTCTGCATGGCCAAAAATGTATCATAATCAAAGATCAAAGCATTATTCTTCGTCACATAGTCCGCCCGTTTGCACCTAAATTCGTATCCCTTCACCTTAGTTAATTTAAAATGGTTCGCACTATGGCTTGTTTCAATTAAAAAAGAACAAAATCCATATGAAATTCAATTGGGCCTCATATTAACCAGAATCGAAACCCATGTCTTTGGGCTCAAATCAAACCCAACAAAATTAAGGTTTTTGTTTTTGTAAACCTACTTACATCCTTATCACAACAAGCAGCATCTTGGATCGAACGGCGGTGATCACATACTCCATCCCTGCACCCAATACCATAATCCAATCGATCGCACGCCGCTGCCACGTGTGGCTCCTCGTGTCCGTTGGATGCCCATTTGGAATCCACCTCGTAATTTACTTGATCGGACCTTGCACGTGCGTCGATCCTCAATCCAGCTTCGAGTAGCAAGTTAATCATGTCCTCCGGGTTCACCAACTCGGTCGCAACTCGAAGGAGCGAATCAGCATCTTCGGGTGGAAACTCGGCGAGAATCGTTCTCTGCCGCTTGATTATATTCCGGGCGGCGTCGTAGTCCCCGCAAGTGACAGCGTGGCGCAGAAGAAAGGGGCCCACGAAGGCAACCTTGAGCTTGAGGTCGTGAGTGGAGCCGCGGGAACAGGAGGAGAACCACTGGTTGATTGACTCGGACTCGGAGTCGCGGGTGAACTCGGCGGTTCTGATGAGGAATCGGTCTGACGGCGAGCGAGGAAAGGTGGGCGGAAGCTGGGCCTGAGCCTTGAGGATGACCTGGACGGTAACGTGGCATAACGGAGGGATTAAACCGGTGGGTGGTTTGACGAGGAACTTGTGAGGCGAAGATGTCTGGACCTTGAAGGCTACGGGGGCGGTGGCGCAGAGGGAGGTCAGGCGCACGTTAGCTCGGCATTTGCAGTTGAGTGCAAAATCTATGCGAACCTCTTGCTCTGAAACTTGTACTAGTTTTTTCTCCATTGGATAACAGGGCTGGAGATTTGTGAATTGTCTGAATGATGGAGGAGGAGTTCTGTGCGAGGAGGAGAAGGACAATAGCATTTGCGCTGGCACATACAGGCGGTTACTCACGTGATTCTGTGGGTCCCACCACTCAACCACGTCGTTGGATTCACGGGCTTTTGTCCTTTGCCTCGCCAACGATAAATATTTATATAGGGTGGGTACTAAAAAGTTAAAAGGAAGATTTAACAATCAATCAACAAATAAAACATCAATCAAATAAAAAATCAACAAATAAAACACATATAGTGACAGCCAAAAGATAATTAAATTATGAGAGTTCTGACGCAG